TCTAGTTTGAATTCGGGGTAGAATGAAATAAGAAATTTTGCAGATTTAAGTTAAAAAAGAGAGAGCAAATTGTGTTTTATTGTGGGAAAATTCTACTACCAGTCCTTCATCACTTTAGACGAAATAGGGTAAATACATTTCATACTACTGATTTACTGGTAGTCTCGAAACTACTCGAATACGAAAAATACTATTGAGTTAACCATGTTTTTTTGGCGTCTGGGGATTTGAACTGATGAATAGAATGCTTATCCCGAAAATAATATTAGAAAGCCCAATACATTTAGTTCATAATAAATATAATCTAAGGATTGGCATTTCCGGTCTAGTTTGAATTCGGGGTAGAATGAAATAAGAAATTTTGCAGATTTAAGTTAAAAAAGAGAGAGCAAATTGTGTGTAATTGTGGGAAAATTCTACTACTAGTCCTTAATCACCTTAGACGAAATAGGGGGAGAATACATTTCATACTACTGATTTACTGGTAGTCTCGAAACTGTACTCCAACACGAAAATAAGTTTCCCATACGTTGCAATCCTGCTTCGGCTTCCGGAAGAGTAGGTTCACGAGCCTACCAACAAATCGCAAGCCAACGCAGAACGACGTAAAGCATCGTCATTTAAACTTCACCTTGTTTGCACATGGTGCTGACATGTCTTACCCTTCCCGTCCTCCCGTCGGCCTCAGGTCCTTCTACAAGACGGGCTGGACAGTCCGGTCTGTGCGGTCACTTTTCTGCTGCGCTTCTTCTTCACCACCGCCGGTCTCGGCTGGTGGCTCGTCTTCTGCCTGAACTGGTGCCTGGACACCGTGAACTGTCATCCTCCGGCCTCCGCGACCCGACGACCCAGTTGTCGTCTCGGCCGATTCACGCGACTTTGGCTCGAGCGCGTTGCGTCTCGCGTAGCCGCCTGGAACGGACCGTCACGTCTTGTCGGCGGCCCGAGCTCGAGTCCCGCCGGACAGGTCTGGCGCCACGTGGTCGCCTGGACGCCGGCCGGCCTCCTCACCGCCGGTCTGCTCGTGTTGCGCGCCGCCGAGGCCGGCGAACTGGCCGGCGTCTGCGAGTTGGGCCTGCACCGGCACCGACGTCTGCTCTACCCCTACGCCGGGCTGATCAACCCGCCCGCCCAGTTACCACAGCAACTAGCACCACTACTACTGCCGCCGATGCCGCCAGCACCGCCAGCATCATCAGCATCATCAGCATCAGCCATACACGGGTTCGCGGACAGCGCGCCCACCGGTACGGCCGACCAGCTCGGCGTCACACCGGCCTCCCTCCTGCTCTTCAACAAGGCACAGTCGCAATCGCTTGCCGCCATTGTCGGTCCTCTTTCCGGTAAGACGGCATTCTGCCCCACCTCAGACACATTTCAGACACACAATCCACTCACACGCACGTTGTCGTCGTTTTGCTCTCGACAACGCCTTGCCTACTCAAATGACCTTGTGAGTAGTACCCAATTGGTAGCATGTAAGACTTTGTTATGGAGGTATATTCACCAGATTTCCCACACTGCTATGGATGGACATTATGCTTCCAATAAATTGCAAATAGTCTTGCTACGGCATTCTGTCCCACCTCAAATACATTTCATGCATACCATCCACTCACACGCACGTACACAGTCTTTCATCGTTTTCCTCTCAACAACGCCTTGCCTACTCAAATGACCCTGTGAGTAGTACCCAATTGGTAGCATGTAAGTCTTTGTTGTGAAGGTATATTCACCCGATTTCCTACAATGCTATGGATAGACAATATGTTTCCAATAAATTGAAAATAGTCTTGCAACGGCATTCTACCCCACCTCAGACACATTTCAGACACACCATCCACTCACACACACGTACACAGTCTTTCGTCGTTTTGCTCTTGACAACGCCTTGCCTACTCAAATGACTTTGTGAGTAGTATCCAATTGGTAGCATGTAAGTCTTTGTTATGGAGGTATATTCACCCGATTTCCTACAATGCTATGGATAGACATTATGTTTCCAATAAATTGAAAATAGTCTTGCAACGGCATTCTGCCCCACCTCAGACAAATTCCATGCATACCATCCACTCACACGCACGTACACTTTCTCTCGTCGTTTTGCTCTCGACAACGCCTTGCCTACTCAAATGACCTTGTGAGTAGTATCCAATTGGTAGCATGTAAGTCTTTGTTATGGAGGTATATTCACCCGATTTCCTACAA